TTGGTGATGTTCTCAGGCAACTGAATGTGCTGCACCAGGCTGCCTCATGTTTCAGTCGCTACGATATTTGAGATATCGCGATACATGTATATCTTTGTAATGTACTACTCATAGGGTTGGTGAAAAGTGGGCTGTCTACGGATTTTCAGCAACCTTATGAGTAGTACATTAAAAAGCCAAATCTTTTTGAAAATATCTGCCTACAAATAGTATCCTTGTTTCCTTCACCACCCTGCGTTATCAAAGAAAGAAACCAACTGTGAACGGGCAAGAAAAGGGCCAAGGGCGAGTTACATGTAAACACTCAAACTGTCTACACACGTCCAAAAAACTTGAATAGAAGACCTGTATCACATGGCCGTCGGCGTCAGTTTACCGCCGTTTATCTCAGGTTTTGATTGAGGGGAAGGTGGAAGACACATTGGAAGTTTTCTGCATATTTCCAAGTAGAAATTAGGTTCCAGTGTCTCGTTCCAAGCAATGGTAGCAGTTCTCTTGACACAAGTAGGATACTGAATACATTCCTATGTCAAATTACGCTCTGGATCCTCGAAAACACTCGTTTTATGGTTTGGTGCCACGAATGCAACCAGTCCTGTCTAAACCTGGAGAAAAATATCAAAGATTGACGAGAAATGAGGGCGGTCAAACCGAGAACCCACCCAGCTGGTGAATTTACTTGTCATATTATGCGGAATCAACTGAACATTTGAGCCACACCTTGTGTAAGGAAGGTAGGTAACAGCACCCGATGCCAACACCCGAAACAAGCGCACGCATAGGGCTGTCTAGCGTAATTGTTAGTAGTGGGGAAAGATTTTGGAATTTCCAATTTTCCAACAAATGAAAGCGATCTGTGCCTGAAAAGCGGAGAAACACTCTATTGCTGCTTCACCCTTACTGGGAATTATCCACAGTACGCAGCTAACGGAACTTCAGCTGGGGGTTTCGAGCCTGTGACCTTTATGCTGGTAGTTCGGACACTTAGCTGTTCGGCCAAGAGCGGCTAAATAGTAGTGCGACTAACTCGCAATTAGAGAGACGATCACCCTCCAATCACGGAGTCCATATCACGTAGTCACCTAATGACTGCCTGTTTGAATGAAAACTTCTCACAGTGGGACTACACCTTCTTCTGGGCTAATAATGGATTTTCGTTCATCAATAATTTTGAAATTTCAAGTACTGAGTTTGTCTTTATATGTACACTGGATTTGTGATTTACCTATATACCCGAAGTGAGGAGACATTACTGGGAAACCCACTTTTGTCAGATTCGGGTATTATCCGTCCGAAAAGCGCAGTATGGGTGGTGACCCTGTCAACCAGATCGCATACTGGGCTGAAGGATGTTTCCCAAAGGCCATCTGCTATCAGGTGTCTGAAGTACCATTGAACAGCAATCTAATAGTCGAGGTTATCGGCTTCTGTTATGGAATATGGGTTGAGGTCTTGTCCTGTTCCCATAAGACGTGCCGAATAAACAGCCTATACTTGGATTTGCCGGACACCAAGGTTATTTGACTTGTACACGAGGCGGGGTGGAGCAGTTTGCACTTGGTCTGAGTCATCCTGGTTGATGGAGTGGTGGTTACACGCTCGCCCCGCTTGTCAGATGTCCGGGGTTCAAATCCCGGCGCGGCCATTACATATGCGCACTGCTGAGAGGTCTAACAAGTTTCTGAGCCATCCTCTTCAGATCTGAGTTACTGAACGTGTCCCCAAGCAAAGCCCCGAAACCTTCCCGGATGATAGCAAGTTCTGTTTACAACACCAACAGAAAAACGTACACAAATTCCCAGATCCTACTGTACTTTTTACATAATTCCAGGGTACTGAGCGCGCCTATCCCGGCCATCCTATTAACTAATGAAATTACTCAATCGATTGTCTGTTCTTAAACGTCCATCTTCCACTATATATCACAGATTTACCAATTGATTTCGAGGAAATTCGTCAAAACCATGTTTTTTCTCACTCGACAAATCTGTAGACAAATACATAATTCTAGGAGCGAACTGTATCTAATCTTGGAGATCACTTTTTGAGAAACATGAGTTCAACCATATATTAATGTATTTTTAATCCTGTCCAGATTTCCCTCTTCAAGAAAGGAGAAATTCCGGGGTATTAACACCACTCATAGTAACTACCATCAAATGCTTGTTTATTGATGGAATCTCAGCCGATGGGATGCTCAAAATTACAACTTTCGAGAGTTCTATCACGTCCACATAAAGATTTTGCTGAAAACAACTGGGGGTTAATTTCAACCAAGGATACGTTTCAACCAGTTACGTAAAATTCAGCGTTTAGCTAGAAAATAGGTATGGTGGTAACTCGAGGTTGCACCTGCGTGATGAGCCTGAAAGACTAGTGAGCTAGTGAAAGGAATAAGACCTTCGCTTCGGAGTTATTTATTACAAAATGCCAACTGAACATTTACAGACTACTGGACAGGGAAGCAAAACTGAATATCCATCTTCTACTTGAACGCGTCTTCCAGAACTCTCTTGGATATCCATTGACTGCTGCTCAAATCCAAGCAAATGCTACAAAGCGACTCCACAAATTCCGGAATAGATCTCATTTTTCAAGAGAAGCAAAGCGGATTTAAGAGAAAACATACTACTCGTATGCCCTCCCATCAGTAGCATCACCTGTATACTGGTACTCTGATGAGTAGCGTGTTCTGTCAGTTAGTTATACAACAGTTTACTTATCAGCTGACTTATGTGGATCATTTGAGGTCAAATCGATCAGTCACATCCGAAAAAACAGCATCATTCTCTTGTTTTGTAATCCGATCACTGGATCCTTGCTCTCACTGAACATCGTTCAGGTTGTGCCGCTTCGAACCAATGCACTCGATGATGGCCATACTTGTATGCTCAAAAGATAGAATAACAAGCATGGTTTAATAGCTTTCATTCCACAGGAAGACTGTTTGACAAAAAAATCGAACACATCTTCCTAATCCTCTATCACATTAAATGCGTGATCGGCTTGTCGGACACGACCCCCACACACCTGGCTTTGCACTGAATAATGGCGAAAGAACAATCTTTGCAGTCCCACAACTGTCGGTGTTTTTTTTTCTAAATTTAAACCTCAATATTGTCATTGTGTTTTTGATCAAAAACGCACGCCAATTAAAGACTGACTGTTTTTTTTAAAACCACGAATTTTACCTTATTGAAACTAACGAATGAAAGAAAGAACGAGTATAGTCACCCAGGAAGTTGTTGTGTACATAGAGCAGTTTCAACAAAGGATCTTAAACAAGTGGGCTCCTGAAGTTGCTTAATGGAGCTAACAATTCGAACTGGTGTGACTCTAAGCCCTTCGTTTATGATACACGAAACGGCATATTCCGGTTCATGTGATGCACAGCACAGTAATATCATTTGATTGGAATAAACGGATGTGAGCTTCCGTGTATTTCGCACTACATTCAGGACATTTCTGATACTACAGTTGTTTAAAGCACAGCAAGTTTTTTTTCTGTCGTTTACATCCATCCTCGAAAAATTGTAACTTTGTCTCAAACTGAGTTGTCGAGAAATAACTTGCCCTGCCTGTCAGATTATCAAGAAAGATTATCTCGATCAGCGCGAGTCAAGTTTAGTTCACTCTCAGTGTTTCACTCTGTTCAAAGGAACGGTAAATGCCAAGTGATGTGAGTTCTTTAACGTATGTTATCTCTATGATCCTTTGGCTAACCAGGCGTGCACGGTAGTGAAGCATCAGCGCCAACACTGATCTTGCTGTCTTTGATGATGATGATGATGTTGATGATGATGATGATGATGATGATGATGATGATGAATGATGATGAGATGATGATGATGATGGTGATGATGATAACCAGGCGCGACTTTGTTCTGAAAACAAACTTTGCACTCACTCGAGGGTATGAGTGCGATCATTTCAGAATTACCTGAGCAGGTATCAGGTGACCCAACTTTTCCGGAAATATGAGGTAAGAATATGCCAGTTCACCTAAATCACTTGCAGATGGTCACTAGCTTGTTTGCAGATGTTCGCTCAAAGCCACTTACTGTGGCAAACGGATAGGCTAGCCGATCCGGACTCTTCTGGGGTTCCACAAGACAATCGGCTACTTTGAGATCACCACATGAGATTACAAAGTATGATGAAAGTAGAGGATCGACCCATCCTTTGTGGTAATGTCTTCAACTAGGAAGCATAGTTAGGGTTTGCAAACTGTCTTCAGTGTGGATATTTCTTACTTACTAAAGCTGTCTTGTGCGGTTTGTACGAAAATCTGATTGCCAGGTCAGACGGTTTTGGTGACTAGATAAAAGAGAGAAGGACACGACGACAGGCTAAATCCCTATCCTTGTAGGAATCAATATTTACGCATTCATGGTGCATCATTTGCGTTCGTCAGGTCGCTTGTTCCATCGGGTCATCGGGTCCTGCTACTCCGAAGAACATAGAGCTGTGCGGTATGCTCTCAACGTGTTGAGATACAGTACATGACAGTGGCACTATACAGTGTCAAAGGCGGAACGTTCGAACCAGTCTTTATAGACACCTTTAGCAGTGTTACCTCTTTCCAGGTAGGCCTATTTACCTGGAACAAGATAGCCTCTTACCCACGGCTTGTTTATGTTATGGCGTCGCTTAACTAACCACGGGCATATAGTTGCAACTAGACCAAAACTCTATAAACTTGGCCAAATGAAACGAAAACGGTGATCAATCCATTAGCATGTCGGGTCTCTCTAACGCCAGCTAACTCACATGAGCCGTTTGCTCGTGAAAAATTATTTTCAACACTTTCATATTAACCAATAAATGAACTGCATAAAGGATAATCGTACGGTTAAAGTATATTCTGATGGAAATGACAAAACACTAAGAGGAGTATAAAAACAACTGGTACGAGTTTGTATTTCGCTAATTCCGTGAAATTTGAGTTCAAATAGAACATAAGGTTGACGAAACATCGGGGACTGCGCTTACCTGATGAGCCCCAAGAAGGACAAAAGTGGTCGTGGACTGTCGAAGAATTTTCACCAACCTTATGAGTAGTGTATTACTTCCCTAAACTGTTACAACGTTTTGATGTATTGCCTTAGTCTGTCATGAACGACAATCATCTTCAGTCTGCATTGCAGTTCCATTACGATTGATAATTTCTTGCATGCAACTAAGGTCAAGTGATCGACAAAACCAAATTACGAGAGAGACCCACCGGTGTACCAGGATGGCGAAGTAGTTGTGTTCGTGGCCAGAGCATTGACACGTGACCGCTGACTCAAGTCTGAATCAGTTTGGAGGGCGATATTGGGATTTGAATAACTGACGGGTGCTAGCCAAGTGGTTCCGATCTATTTCTCTGACAGTGTACTGCTGTGAAAAGCTCTGTCGCCAAAATTTTGTCCTTGTATTGTGCGTTTGTGTGTAAATAGCTGGGCTGCTTTATAGCGATGATGGGGAGATAGCCAGCATACTTTGTGCTGCGTGACGACTGAATTATTTTGTGAATACTTTAATAAAATTTGGATCACACATTATCGATTATTTGTGCTGGTGTACATGTCTGGAGTGGTGGATGTGACCTTGATGCTTTAGGAATGCAACACACGATGACCAGAAATGAAAAATACCAAAGGATATTTTACTAGGTGCGTAAGACGAATTTTGAAACAACTTAAGAAAACTTTTCAGGAATGTGCCAGGAGAGTCACTTTGCTCTGGGATGATCAAGATTTATGGAACAGTGTCAGTTCGAACACTTTCCACTCGAATTGTTTTGGGTAAATGCGTTTCACGCACACAGTTTTAGGTGGTTTCTATGCCGCAAAAGTACTCATAGGTTTGATCAAAGCTCGTTCGGTCACTGCCGGTTGTGTATTTCTTGGGAAACATCAGCTAGGTGTGGGGATAAGAAGAATATTTTAATTTTTTTTTTATATTGTCCCGAAAAAACATGAAACGTTCCATGTACAACACATTCATTTGGGGAATATCGTAAAATGGAGATATGGTTCAAACGCATTTGACTTCTTCGTCAACATTAGCTAGTTTTCCGGATGGCTCCTTTTGTGTGGAACTTGTTCATTAACGGTTCTCATCAGTAACAATGGACTGCTGACATTCTGGCTGCTTTTTACTCCTCACTTCAACTTCATACACCAAGGAATATGTGTTACTTCTTCAAGCTGAACATGCTTCAAAAACATCCGTAAAACATCGACCTTGGACATAGTTTTACAGCCGAATTCAAGCTTTCGCTGAATGCAGTTGGGTGCATTCTAGTCAGTTTAATTCGTACTGTGAACTGTACGCAAATGGTGGACAGACGCCATCAACAGAGGAAAGCGTTTTTCCCGTCCCAAGGAAATTTTTAAAAAAGCGCTTCCATCAGAACATCAGTGAAGGATCGATTGCCGAGGTATCACTCTCCAGTGACCCGTTATGATGTATTCTATCCAAGTATAGGCCAGTCACACTACTGACAAGCTGTATGTGACCGAGCAGTCTGATCTTGAAATATAAGTTGAAAATCAGGAGTTCGAATCTTTCCTTGATTCCGAATAAACATGAAACAGCTATGCATTGCTTCCCGACTTTCTGACCTAGATTTTCCTCACTTGTAGGACGAAACCCCCACTGAAATTTTCCTACCTTCACATACTACTAACAGAATATTCCAGTGAATTTGATCCCCCCACCTCAGTACCAGCTCTGTCTTTCTTTGGCCAGGCATGTACATGGTTGGACTTCTTATTAAGAGCTACAAGACTAAAATTTTCCTGATCCATCTGACAGAATAAAACTATAATCTGTAAAGTCTAAGTTAAGGTAAATAGCTAAATTACGATGACAACGAGAGCAGACCACTCTGGAAGTCCGCTAGTAAGCACAGGCCGTTGCTAGATGAAGCCAAGAATAATAAATACGTCACTTTGATATCGATAATAAGCACAATCGTCATCTATTAGTTGTGGTGCTCTTTCACGGTAATCCCAACAATCGACTGGATTCCGTGCGTTTTGTCGACTCGGAGAACCAAATTGTCTCTAGAACCCGCTGTAGAGCATTACTTGTGTCGACCGGTTCGGTGTCTCGACGCAGTCTTGAAAATTTTATTCAGGCTTTTGTGAGAATTCCTCAAAACTGGCCAGTCCTGATTCCGTTCACCCAATTTTTTGTCGCTAATTGCTTCGTCAAATCAGGAACACCAAGTATAGTATGGCCGAGTTGGGAACGTGTTCGCTACTATAAATAGGAATCGGTTTTGAGGCAAATAACAAGGCCATTATAAGACATGCTAACGACGGTTTACCCTCAGCTTCCCAAAAGCTACGCATAAAAACCTTGCTTTCTATTCAAATGATCGTGTTGAAGCCCAGTTTGTTTTCCAAAAAATTCATTTGTTCTAATAGCCCGATGCTCAGCTCAACCAAACCAATCGGATAGTCCAATTACTTGTTTTTTTCGGAGTTCCCCAGGTGAAAGTGCAATTCTTCTCCCGTAATTGCAGGCCCAGAACGAAGCGGTTCTTTAAAATACACATCCGAGCACTAACAGTCTCACGAGGTGAGGTTTGTAGAACTGACCGACGGTCTACGTGGAATCGTCCAAGCTTAAGAACAAATATAATAAAAAGCTTCGCTCCCGATTGCGAATTCCTCAAAAGCAACTACAAATTATGAAACGTCAAAACGCTTGTTATTTTATTCAAATCTCAAGGATCTTGCACACAAATTCGCGGATTTTTACATAAATTTGACCAAACAACTCGTTTACTTCTAGATTGCGTGGTTTGTGGACATATGTCCCTCGTATTATTTAAATGTATTTTCAACTTTTGCGATTTCTTAGAACTGGCGGCAAACTATTTATCAGGTTTCCAACCTAATCCGTTGCGTGATATGCCCTGTCACCCGCCAAACAACGACTGGCTATAACCGACTTTGTCGCTCTTGGTTACGGTCAAAGAAGTAGAAAGATTTACGTTTTTCTGAGAAACGGATGAGCTGAAAACTAGTTTGCTTATGTTAATGAGTGAAACTGGTGTACACATCGTCTCGTTGCGCCACCGACTCCAAACACTTTAGAAATAGGATTAACTTTCACCAGTAGACTCAACCATTCCCATCCTCTTTTTTGTTCCTTTTTGGCAAACAAACCCAGCTACATCCACGTGATGAGTCCAAATCTGAGCAGAACACATCGTGGATTGGTGTTTTAACGCCGTTTTTCCTGAACTGCGTTTCTTTTATGGTCAGACTTTAACCGTGAACTGATGGTTAGAAGTGATCTAGGTTTGAGCTACATGCCTTGTCGGAGCTTGCGCCAAATTTAAATTGGGATACAGGGTAGGACTTTCTGTGACAAAAAAACAATAACAGAAGAACATTGATGTCGTTTAACTCAGCACAAATCAAAACTATATCGCCAGCGAAAAATTCACCTCATTAAACCCACCCTTCGATTGTAAGTGTGCAATAAAATTTGACGATTCTTCTATTTTTCTGACAAGTGCAGTTGATAAGTCGGCGGAGACACCTGTGCAAGTCCGAATTCACGTTCACTTTTAAGGTCTATAAGATGTTAAAAAGATCCAGTTCTAATGCTGACATTTTTTGTCTCTCCAACTTCGAGTAAAAGTAGAAGTATCTAGTCTGATTTCCTTTCTATACATTGGTTTTGTATTCAGTTCATCCATCCGGTTTATCATTCTATTGTAACTCACCGGAAACCCCGGCTCCAGAACCTTATTGATGAAAAAGACATCTAACCAGAATACAACAAGTGAGTGCGGACTTACATGTGGCGTCGCAGTAATTAAGGAGCACTTTCGACCTTGAATCAAGTTTGTCTGAGTCAAGGTTTACATCTCGTCTAGTTCACACCTGAGCACTCGAGCGTCGTCAATCATCGCTGACTGCTTGCTTGAACGCTTCATTAATAGATGGATTATGTGACCCGTAGACTCGGCTGCCTTCTGAAGTGTTTTTTGCAGAACTGATGGATCCCAGTAAGTAGCGGGCGTCCTGCGATTATTTTCAGGAATCTGACCTTCCTAAAATATCTACTCGCTTGTGCGTTTTCCAACAATGTGAAGTTTCTTTTTCTGATTGCTGTCGCACGCTCTCAAAAACTAAAATGTCTGTTTTTTGCTCGGTGACATCCTCGGTTGAGTTGTTCTCTGTCGATCAGTTTGCAACAGTCGCTTTGCACAACGTGTGTGGTGCAAGATGCCGTACTAGACGGAAAGATGTCCAGTTTCCAATGTTCATCTGTACCACTTCGAATTACTCCCACAAGGAGTGAACTCTGTAGGAAAAACGGTGTCCGACTTCCCTTGTGCAGTTATTCTATCCTTGGAAAGGCTAATCAGGACTGTTGCCAGGGTTTTCCATCAGACAGATATTTTTTGACCATTTGTGCAAAGTCGTTTTTAGTAGAGCACTTTTGGGTTGAATTCCATGCGACTTTCTTGTTTCTCACGCACAGTAAACTCCTGACATAATGATTTCATCCTATTTGATGTATTATGCCTAGAAATATAGCAGTAAACACACTCGTATTCATGGCTGCCATAAAGAAGATTTAGGTTATCGCACTGTCACTAAATGGTGAGAGTTCCTGAAGAAGTTCCGGGAAAAAATAGGTGAGGGAATCAAGTTAGACTGTGTTCACGCGGGAAGAGTTGAAGCGTAACGCGAAACTTGGGCTCGTGAGTAGGATACCAGTGTAACGGTGATACTACTGATGGGGGAGGCATGCGGGTAGTATGTTTTCTTCTTGTAAATTCGCTTTGCGTCTCTTGAAAAGGAATTTGTGGATTCGCTTTGTAACATTTGCTTGGATTTGAGCAACAGTCAATGAATATCCAGGAAGGTTCAGGAAGACGCGTTCAAGGAGAAGATGGATGTTCAGTTTTTGTAAACAAGATGTAAATGAGAATTTTGCTTCCCTGGCTGATCATTTGGCATTTTCTAATAAGTAGCTCCGCAGCGGAGGCATCCTTCCTTTTCACCGACAACCTTGTCAGTTGAATAAGACGTACAACAACATACAATGACAAT